GTGTGGTCTTTTTATTGGGCTCAAATCTAACTAAATAATCATGTAGATGCATAGGATGATGACATGTGTCCGTCCATTAGATTAAAGGGCACAAATGCTTCTTCTTTTTCGGACGACAAGGGCACTAGTGTTTCAATAATATAACTAATGATATATGTGTACCATTTATCATAGTTCGGATATACTTTTTCCCTTTTTAAAAGTATTACATATATTAAGTGAAAGAGTAGCTATGGATAAAAAGCAAAGAATTAAACGCGGGTGACGAAAACCTTTTGCTTACCATATTGAGAGGCCTCTTCTGAATTCAGTCTCTCCCACTTATAGCTCTACTTTGTCTTTCACAAACAAATTTGCTTCTTCACTTGACAGGTTCTTCCCTTTAACCGACCTAAATATGTCTGTTTTTCTGCTCTATCATTTGATGATTCTGTGATGAATTTGATGTTTTGGTTTGGAATTGAGGTTATTTTTATGTGATTATCTATTCCGTTTGATATATTGTGGATTGCTAGTTCGTATAATTTTGGAAACTAGGTTTTCTCTCGTATATTTTAATAATTTCGTATTTCTGCGGTGGTAGTTGGATAAAATTTTAGGAAATATGCATCTTGATGAATTCTTTTTAATTTGATTTCTGATGAGTTTCTTTGATCCGTCATAGTTTTCATCATCTCATGCATTTTCTATCTTATTTTGATGTATTTGTTTGTGATTTTAAACTGATTCGGTCGAATTGTTCTTCCCTGAGCATCAGCATTAGCCTATTATTATGCCTCTGGAACATGTCAGCACGATGCTATTTCTTGTGTTGATCAGCTGTTTTTATTCCAAGTTGCTTCCACCTGTAACTATTTCGTTATATGACTTGTAAATAATGATCAGCAAACAGAATGTGAGATGATAACAAAATGAACATGTTGAATTTTAAGTAATATTTATATATCTGCAACTTGATATTTTGTAATTCCTAATTTTTGATTCACATGATGCTTTTAGATTTGGACTATGGGTCAAACACTCGGTTGCATTCAAGTAGATCAGTCAACTGTTGCTGTGAAAGAACAATTTGGTAAGTTTGATCAAGTGCTGGAGCCAGGGTGTCACTGTTTGCCATGGTGTCTTGGGTATCAGGTTGCTGGTTCACTCTCATTGCGAGTGCAGCAGCTTGATGTTCGCTGTGAGACCAAAACGAAGGTATTTTCATATCTATCTCGAAGATCTAAATTGTTCTGTTTCTCTGCTTTTTACGACAATTTTAAACTCATTAATAGAAAATCATGATCTATTTGTATCTTGAGAAAAGCATTATGTGAGGTCAAATTTAGTTTCTCATTCCCTAAACCTTGTATCTTTTTAAGTTCTACGCATGTCTCCCTTTTGGAACTTCCTAGTTTGATCATCAAAAGACATAAGTATTGTTCTCATTGTTCCAGGACAATGTTTTTGTTACTGTAGTAGCATCCATTCAGTACAGAGCCTTAGCAGAGAACGCGGCAGATGCATTTTACAAGCTTTCAAACACCAAAGGACAGATTCAGTCCTATGTTTTTGATGGTATGTTTTCAAAACTATATTTGTAGTGGTTGCCATGGTAAGATGAGGAGCTTGTGGCTCAAGCAGTATATGACTGACTTCACTTTTGCTGTACCTCCTCTAATCAGCCCACAACATAAGAAGTATGAAAGGGTAAAAAGGGGGAGGATGTTGATTGGTGTCATAGACTTGTAGAATAATGGGGTGGAAATCTGTGATAATGATTGGCAAGTCATGTTTCTTTATACCACACTTTGTATTTTGCTTAACTTACTCTATGACACATCTTTACAAGCTTTTCTCAGCATCAGTATGTCTTCCTGGTATTATTGATATTATATGGCATTTCTTTTTGGAGGGCATTAACTTCAATAAATAGTATGTAGATTGGGTGGTTTCTCTGCTGGTCATCTTGGGTTTTGTAGGACTTCTATATGTATGCTTTTTTCTGTTTATCTTGCTATGGTAGCGCAATGAGTATTTTTTATACTAAGCTTGAGACATAACATCTATCAATCTCCTTTTAGTTATAAGGGCCAGTGTGCCACGAATGGGGTTGGATGCTGCATTTGAGCAGAAAAATGAAATTGCTAAAGCTGTAGAGGAAGAGCTTGAAAAGGTAATATGGTTCTTGCCTTAAATAACCAATTCACTGTTTCAGTCTCTTTACATTTTAATTATGCTGAAATTCTTGTCCTTTTTTGTATAAAATTACAGGCTATGTCTGCTTATGGGTATGAGATTGTCCAGACCCTCATTGTGGATATAGAGCCAGATATCCATGTCAAGAGGGCAATGAATGAGATTAATGCTGGTATGGACAAATTAAAATCTGAGGAGACTAGTTTGTTTGTTAATTGTATGTCTAAGTTATTTAGTGCCTGCGACAATGTTGAGCTAACCATGTTTTTCCTTTTTCTTCTATATGTTTCATGGAGGCAGTTGTGTTTCCTTGACAATGACTGCATTCGATATTCTTTTCAGAAATAATCTATTGCCTAGTAGTGTATGTGATTTGCTCTGATAACCCTTTGCTGGTGACAACAGCTGCAAGACTCCGTGTTGCTGCGAATGAGAAGGCTGAAGCAGAGAAAATACTGCAGATCAAGAAAGCTGAAGGAGAAGCTGAATCCAAGTACTTGTCAGGGCTTGGCATTGCTCGACAGCGTCAAGCCATTGTGGATGGTCTTCGAGACAGTGTGCTTGCCTTCTCAGAAAACGTACCTGGAACATCACCAAGAGATGTGATGGACATGGTTCTTGTTACTCAGTATTTTGATACAATGAAGGAGATTGGAGCTTCTTCCAAGTCATCTGCAGTGTTTATTCCCCATGGACCAGGTGCTGTCAAAGATGTTGCTTCTCAGATCCGGGAGGGTCTTCTTCAGGCTGAAAGTATTCAGCATTAGTTTAATAAAGGTGAAGGATAATTGATAGTCTTGTGTGGTTTGATGCTCTTTTAGCTTAGTATTGATACGGTAGCTTTATTTGTGTTGTGCTTATGTAGTCCATAGATTGATACACGCAACGTTTGGTTTTAGTAGCTTGTGTATAGGTGTTACCAACTAAGCTGGCAAACAAAAAGTTCTGCAGTTGATTGTGTTTATCTTGTTAGATGTCTCTATAGGAATTTTAGGTATTTACTTGCCAAGAGTAAATCACATCACTTAACTGGCCTATATTAGCTGCTAGTACTCCTTCCGTCCTATTTTGTATTTCATAAATTTTTTGCCTTGTTTTGCTAGAAATCTTTCAACTATTTTAAATGCGTTAATTGTACAATGCTATTACTGTATCTAGGTTTGACACCTCATAACGAAAGAACAAATTAGCCAGCCACCTAGACTACATTATAAATGAACTTTTGGTCAGTCGATTTTTCCCTCAATTCTCTTCCATGCGAGTGAAGACGCTTTTTAATCTTAGCGAAGGAAAAACACTGCCAAAGCTAGAAAAGGCACAAAGCTTTCGACTCCCTTCCATAGCTCTTCCCAAGAGAGCCACTAGGATCTATAGTAAATGACACTTTGAAGTAGGTCCTCTTGTAATCACAAGATAGGAATTTCAATTTTGTATTTGTCTTTGTTCATAGAACGAGTTCGACTTCTTTTATATTAATTATGTTGTACACGGGCTATACATTCCTAAAAATAGATAAATGCATAACTGTTATGAGCCCTATAGGATTATCACCCACGCTATACATTCTTTAAAATATATAAATGCACAACTGTTCTAAGCCAAGTCACCCTGGTTTCCTTGATTATCTTGACGCAGCCTGCTCATAAAGTAGTGAAGCGAAGACAAAAGCCTGATACACATGGGCTATAGAGCAAATTAATTTTCAATCTCTGGCCACCAATATTGCCTCAGCCATCAGCAACAAACCCACAGCAGTCCCCAACAATTTAAACAGCAGACCAGCTAACAACTTGCAAGATATCATGGCATACCCAAACACAGCAAGCAAATAAGAACAATTTTCCCACTGCAATTATCATAAAATTAAGTAGATGAATGCAAACTAAATCCAACGAATTAAGGATAAATTTTGGAACATGCCAAGTAGAAAACATATTATGGATAATGATTCTTCAACAATGCGCTTTTACTTGGACAAAAATCTCGAGCAAAAAACTCTCAAGCCTCGAGTCTATGGGTATAATGAGGTACCCAACTTACCCATCATCAGTTTCAAAAAGAGTTGTCAAAAAGAGTTGAGAATAAGAATGTACGATGTCAGAATGACACGACGTTGGTTGAAACAACCACCTAAAATTATTTTTTCAGTCCAGAACTACCAGATAAATTGCCACAGAAACAAGTCTTCTAATTTGCTCAATAGTCCATTGTCTACGGGTGATTGTCCTAAACCTCTGACTATGCCTATGGCTTAAGAGCCAAGGCTAGTCCAAATTTGGCACTTTTGTCAACAGCTTTGGTGTCCACCTCTCCTGAAATGGTGAAAAGAGACTTTGGACGCCACTCATGCTGGATCAGAGCAGTTGCCGTGCCAAAGTTGTTAACCCTTGCCTTAACAGTCGTCAAGGGATCCAATTGATGCTGAGTTCCAACAGTGATGGTGTTCTCACTGGTAGAGAAGCTATGGGTCACCTCCGCACCAACAGCAGTACTAGTCAGGGGGGTGACTATGTGGTAGTATGATGCACTCAAAGAATCTCCCTTGTTATTACTGAATTTTCACCATACATGCAAAAAAAAAAAACCAAGCTAATCAAACACTGAATAAGCATTCCAAAAATCAGTCTGCAACTAAAATTATTTCATCATGTACTGTTTGCAACAAACTTTGATCACATGTGTAGCATGGGAACTAGGTTGACAAGTTAAATATAGGTCATACACCCAGGTCAGCAGTAATGCATAGACAATATCAAGCAAGACATCTGACAGCAGTGAAAACAACTCACAGATTCAAGGAAGTAATGAGGTCGGCATTTGTGAAACTCAAGCCTGCATTGCACTTTGTGATAGCTCCTGCCTTGGTGTCAAAGGATACATCAGTTCCTAGAGCAAGAACATTGGTTCCCAAGACACCAGAGAAGTTGACAATGGGATTTGCTGTCAACCCAACGCTGGTGCATATCCCAGCATAGTCATGTAAATATTGAAGTTCCATCTATCATGCAATACAAATAAGAATTTAAGCATCAGTAGTACACATTTTTACACGTTAATCCTATAATAATTATAGGAAGCAATCTTAGCTAAACCAATATAGTTGTTTACCTTTGCAGAACTTTGATCAGGAATTCGGCAACTAAAAATTGTCTTCAGCCCAGGAGCAGCTTCATCGACAGTAACAGTTGCCAAAAGCTAGCATTGGAGACAATTAAGTAAAGACTAAGAATCTTATGATAACATGTCCCAAGAAGAAAAAGGCTTCACAGTTTATGCTAAATAATACACTTTAGAGCCGATGAAAGGAGGATGAAGAAAGTAGATCAAAACAAACCTGTAATTGATCAAAGAAGTTTTTAAGACTTGTAGAGTGTGTGTTTGTGTGTGTGTGTGTGTGTATCTGGGTTGTTGAAGTGGCTTATGACTTATAGGTAGAGACAAGACACATGAGGGTTATTGTCAAATAAAAACTAGGAAAAACTTTAAAGATCACAAGCCAAGACCACAAGAACACACCATAGGTGCTACAGCAAATATATTAACTTAAAATGAGTGAACAGAGGTACTCACATTTGAGTTCGTGTCTACTTTTATATCAGTTGTGATATTCTTGTTCTTCAACTGAGTGTTAACATCAGCCAGAAATAGATCACCTTTCTTCAATCCAGATGAAGTAATAGCCTACCAAAAGAAAGATAAGGATACTTAACTTATGGAATAACTTGTACTCCTAAGAAAATGAAGAGCAATACACGTGCATAAATATATCCCCACATTTTTCAGTGAGTTAAGAAGCACTAGTGCTTGCAATTACGATCAAAGTAAATCAATATTCAGACAAATTTCTGTTGCAAAAAGGACAGCGACAATCAGCTTGGCACAAGTGACCATATTCATCATATCAGAAAATACGATGAGGAGAATACCAAAATTCTACAGTTGAGCAAGGGCAAAAGATAGTGCAGTCTATCATATCACAACGTAAAGTAATGTTCCTAACAACCAAACAATCTAAAAAAAGGTGCATAAACCACCCACATGGTCCTTTGGCTAGTAGTAAGTTGCATATGAATTATAATGTATTGACTGTGGCATGACTATTGATCACCAGTTTTTTTATGGGATGGCTTGATTATTTTGTATTGTTAAATTGGAACAAGAATTGCAGTGGCAATCAGTATGACACAAGTAACCATATTCATCATATCTGAACAAATCATCGAGAGGGTGTTTCATACTCTCCTTTTAGAAAGGAGTATCCTGATTACCAGAATCCAGGATATCATTAATTGACCCGGCCCCACACTAGACCATCTTACCTTGAACCTCGATCAAGTTGAACATTAGATGAGGAGAAGAAAGTGCAAACTATAGTGCAGACTATCATGTATCACAACGGGAAATAATCTTCCTAACAACTATACAATCAGAAAAAGATGCACTTCACCATCCACAGGGTCCTTTGGCTCATAGGAGTTATATATGAAATGTAATGTATGGTTGTGGCATGACTATTGATCCCCAGTTTTCTTATGGGATGGCTTGATTATTATTATTGTTGTTAAATTGGATAAAAATTGTTTCCTCATTTGGTTTAGTTCTAGTACTTTATATGGTTTACCCTATGTGATTAAAACTAGTATACATAATTAAGAATTAGAATAAAAATTATAATTATGTAATTTAATCATCTCAAGGTAAGAATAATTTCAAAAGGAAATTCTAAGGCGACATATTATAAAGGAACAGATAAATGAATAGAGCCTATACAAAACATGAAATTTGTCCTAAACATTTCGTCCCAAAGAATACTTGAAACAAATGAGAGAGCTAGTGTAGGTTAATTACATTTAATAGTGCAAAAGACATTTTTAACCATTATGTGCTCAAATGAAGGCATGTATTGCATTACGTAATATGTGTGATTGAAGCCTACATGTTAATGAATATTTCGATCAAGCACCGATACAAACGTTCATTTGAATCCATATATAGTTCATAAACCCCCCTTCAGAAAAATAATCATATATATTTATAGTTAACAGACGAGTCAGATCTTATTTTTTCCATAAAACAGCAACAGCAAATTATATACAGATACATAGAAAAGAATCCTAGCTAACTCATAGTAAAAAAAAAAAAAAAAAAAAACAGATCCGCAGCTAAGGAAGGAGAAAACTCACAACTCCGGTAGGAGAGTAGGTCGTAATTGTGAATTTGTGGTCAGTCTGGTAATCCCTGTACAGAAGATCTGTTCAACACAATAGAGAAGTCAACACCGCATTTCGTCTTGCGAACAGCAAAGAGCAAAGTTGAATTAAAAAACTATAGACTAACTCCGCCGTGTATGTATAAACAAACCTGTACTAATATGTATCTAAATGTTCATCAAAAAAGACATGCAGTCATTTTCAAATTCTAGATCCGCATCTGTCCAATAATATATCAAATAATCTGGTATATGCATACATTTGAATATGTGTATCCAAATTCTAGATCCAATAATATCCTAAGAAAAAAGTGAAAACAAACCTCGGGTCTTCTTGCCGATATCGGAGTAGAGACCAGGTCCTTTTCCCATGATTGAATCGAATATCACAGAGAAGAAGAAGAAGAAATGGAGACAAAAGCTCTGCAGCTATGGAGAAGAAAACAATATGTAGAAGTAGAGTGCAGAGTATATAAAAGCAACAGAAGCCCTAATTTGTAGCCAGTTGGTGATGAAACGGTGGTCTTACTACTACGTGTACTCCGCTTCATCTGGACCGTAGATTGAAGGTTCTCATGCTTTAATCACCGTCAATTCTAGCGTTGAGATGCGGAATAGTGACGACACGTGGCATGTCATACAAAATGCCTTACGATTTTAATTTCTTTGGCCACAAGACAAGATAATGGAAGACATGTGTTGTTCATCAAGAAAACGTTTAAATTTAAATTAAATATGGACCATTTGTATATATACTTTTATCACTAAACAAATTTAAAATATTATTTAAAAAGCCTAATAAATATGAATTTAATTAATTGTTCAATTTTGTTGGATTAATTCTTTTATTTGATCACACTAACAATCCCCCCACTAAATGGAAAAGAGGCATGCTTTCTCTCTTGGTGCAAGTTAGCATAACTTGCACCTACCATGGGTAAGAGATTTCGTATACCATCTCAGAAGGCAATAATGGAAAAGGAAGCACAATTCATGAAAGGAATTTCTCGATGAGGTAAAGAATCAGGTCAGGCAAGGGGAAATAATGCAGAATCTAGTACGAAAGCAGTTGATTCAAGCATGAAGTCGGTTGAATCTAGAGAAGAAGATGACTCACAGTTAAGAACTACAGATCTGAAGTCAATGCAACTGAGAAACAAAGCTAAAGTGACAAGTGAGGTGCAGATCGAGAATTTACCAGAGGAAACCAATGGAACAGTGATAGCAACTAAGGAACAGGTAAGACAAAAACAAGCTCAAGCTATGGGAATTTGGACTGAGAACATACAGTCGTCAAGAGGTGGAAGTCAAGTTGAATCAAGCAGTAGCAAACCGTCGTGGGCAAATGAAGTAGAGGAAGAATTTGGTTCACAAGGTAGACAGAAATCGATTTGGGATGACTTTGATATAGCAAAATTGTTGAATGCAGGGTACAAATTGGAGTATGTAGCTCCCTCAAAAGATGGAGAAAAATAGGTAGTGGAGATCGAGTTGGACAATATCAGATCTGAGATCAAATTTTGGGGGAATGCAGTAGTTTGCTATGTGCTTGGAGCGTATCCTCATTTCCAAGTAATACAGGGTTATATACAACGTCTATGGGGGAAGTATGGAATTGATAAGGTGGCCATGATGAAGAATGGGGTGGTAGTGGTGCGATTTGCAACAGAGAATAGGGAAGCAAGAGGTGCTACAAGGTGGAATCTACCATTTTGACAACAATAAGCCATTCATTGTCAAAGAATGGACACCGAAATTAGAGTTCACAACGGAGGAACTACAAACTGTGCCTATTTGGATTAAATTGCCAGGTTTAGATTTCAAATACTGGAGCATGAAAGGGTTGAGTAAGATTGGTAGCCTGATAGGGAGACCTTTTAATGGTAGATCATAATACCGAAGAGAGAAATGGATTAAACTTTACTCGACTACTTGTTGAGGTTGAGCTGGGAGCACAATTACCAGATGAGGTGAGATTCAAGAAAGAGAAAAGGAAGGTGATTGAGCAACCAATACAATATGATTGAAAGCCTTCACTCGGTAAGTTTTGTACTAAATATGGACATATGGAGGAGGAATGCAGATTGAAGAAGAAAATACCTAGACCTGGTCAGATAAAAAGGGCAGATGGGGTGATGAAATGGCAAAACAAGCAGAAACAAGTAAAAGAGGCGGATCCACAACCAAGGCAGACAAAGGTAGTGATACAACAACAGTCTGAAACAATAAAAGGGGATAAAGAGGGAAACAACAAAAGGGAGGGATGGTAAACACCAGTTAGATTGGGGAAGACAACTCCAAAGACTCCAGGGTAAAATTCTCCAATTATGAGTGCAAATTCTTTTCAAATACTGCAGAAGAGGAATGAATATGAAGGAAATAAATGTAATGTGGGAGGACAGACTATGGTAAGGTCTGGCGATGGTTAATTTACTTAGTTGGAATGTGAGAGGGTTGAATGCCCCTAATAAGCAAAAGGAAGTTAAACTCGTTTGAAATGAAGAAGAGGTGAGTTTGATTGGCTTGCTGGTAACAAAAATAAAAAGTGGAAGAATAGAAAAGTTGGCTCAAAATATGTTTGTAGGATGGCAGTTGTAACACCTCGGTTTTCGAAAGAACTAGAATTAGAAAGAACTAAACTTGGAAATTTTGGCACAAGTTATGCTAAGTATGAGTTTTAGGTCAACTTCAAATGACCATAACTTTCAGTACAAGATGAATTATGTAAGATCTCAAAATGAAGAAAATTCTAGTTTTCAAAAAGCTGGTGCCAGTACCGACGGAACCACCCACGGACCGTAGATAGAACCATGAACCATATGTGGGGTTCCATCGCTAAGGTCCAAAATTTGATGGTCTTTGATCCCACCCACGGTTGACCAGTACGGTCCGTGGTTGGACTTACGGACCGTTGGCGAGGTTCAACAGCCAATTGGAGGGAATTGGTTGTTGGGTCAACTTCAAACGGTCATCTCTTTTAGCACTGAATGAATTATTTGTCCTATGACCTATCAAAAGAAAGATAATTGAATCCTCTTTCCAACGCCATTGAGTTTGCTAAAATCCCATCTTCGAGCAAAAAGTAATGCTCGTTTTAGTGAAGCCCTGTCGGGCAGAGCTTGATCGATGACTCCTACCGACGGTTGGTAGGTCAATCGACGACCCGTCAGTCCTGTAGTAGGTGGCACTCTTCAGATTTAAGTCAGGGTTGTTTTGGTCCTTTCCCATATGCATTGGGAACTTAAACTACGTCGTTTTACTCAATTTAAGCCTAATAAGTTAGTCAGACATACCCAGAACCCTCATTCACCTAAGATCATCCAAACTTAGAGCAAAAAAGAGAAGAAGGAGGCGCCAGTTTCCCAAGAACAATCAAAAGGTTTGCCTCAAGTTTCAGCCCTGAAATCGAAGGATTTCTTCTTAGATTTTGTGACAGGTATGTGGAATTTCACTAGTGGGTTCCTTTCATCCACTAGGTCCATAAAATTTAGTCAGCTCGTTGATTCTCCATATCTTGTTTAGACCTAGGGTTTCTATAACCTTGGATTTTGTTGTGATTTAGCTATTGTAGTATCCTTAATCTGAATAAAATGTTTTCTTGGAAAGTTTGCTTAATTCCTTGTATGAAACTCAGAACTGTAGTTTGTGTAGATTCTCCTAGTTCATGAATCACACTTGCTAGGTCAGTTAAACAGATAATCATGCTTTAGATTTCGAATATCACATTATTAGTATATAAATGTTGCATTCTCAGTTAGTATGTCAGTATTTTGAGCTATTCAACATTTTTGTCACATTTCAGTCATATACATATTCAGTTTGGAGCAGACTTAGCACCGAGTTGGACTAGGGTTCAGTGTACCCTCATAGTCCTAGAACTGCGTGCCCCCATAGGATTATAAGTCCCCTCTGTTGGGCATCAAATTTAGTGATCACGCCAGTCATGCTTTTATACCCCTGGCAAGGTATATTGGGTCCTCTTGATGGGGCGTATACATCAGACTCTACGTTTAGCTCACGTGGTTTTATGTTAGTTAATAGTAGCTCCCACAGTCAGACTCTTAGTGCATTTGACCAGGTTTTCAGTATATACTTCAGCATTCAGTTCATCATGTTATTTTCATAATTAGTACTTGGTCATTGCATTTAGCTTAGCTTTTTAGTTATGTTTCTGTATTTACATTCTTGCTCAGTTATGCTATGTTCAACTTATATATATTTGTTCAGCTTAGTATTTATATCATGCATACTCAGTACATTCCAAGTACTGACGCATACTCCGCACTACATCCTTTCATGATGTAGGTTCAGGTACTCAGTATCTCGATCATGCTTAGATCGATTCTCGGTCCGCATTCAACAACTTCAGTGGTGAGTCCTCATATTCCGAGGACAATAGACATGCTTTCACTTTAGTCTTTTTATTCAGTTTTCAGTTTGGTTAGAGTTAGCTGGGGGGGCATGTCCTAGCAACTCAACTCAATTAGAGGCTTTTCAGACATAGTAATAGAATCAGCTTAAATTGTTAAGTTTATCTTTCAGTTGTTATTAATCTTAGTATGTTTTATACATTCAGACTAGTTGGGTATTCCCCATTTTCAGATATCCACTATTTTTAACTTCCGCATAGTTAATGTTTTACTTAGTTATTTTCAGTATGCTTATGCTATGCCAGACTCAGGATTAGCTTGGGGTCACTCGTGATCCTAGGTCATGTGTTACGTCAAAGAGTTGCCTCGGGGCGTGACAAACTTGGTATCACAACATTAGGTTCAAGAGTCCTTGGATGTCTGAAAGCCGCACTAAGTAGAGTCTCTTTCATGGGTGTGAAGTTCACCACATCTATGATGGGGAGGCTACGAAGAGTTTTTAGGAAAAACTTCACTTTCCTTGCTATTCTTATCGTGCGTGAGTATGAACTCTATTTAATCTCCTTCTAACTCCTGCTCTTCGCATTTCGTAAAATGCCTCCCAAAAGAGCTAACGCAAGGAATCAGCCAACAACTCCAATAGACCCATTGAAGGATCAAGTCATGTATGCCGAGTTCAAGGTTGCTTACCAAGTACCTGCTTAGGCCATGACTACCCAGGTAAATCAGTAGGTTGTGGTCCCATCTCTGCCATAGACTAACACTACTACAACAAGAATCCAAGACTTTACTCGAAAAAACCCTACAGAGTTTCGTGGGTCTAAGTCAAAATAAAATCCAAAAGAGTTTCTCGACGACATCTAAAAGGTAAAAAACATTATGGGCATCACTCAAGTCGAGAGTGCAGATTTGGCCGCCTATTAGTTGAAGGAAGTGGCCTACACTTGGTACCAGCAGTGGAAGGAATCTTGTGGTATTAATGCATGTCCAAAAACTCTCTCTGAACCTTTCTCAGTCTCTACTCCAGTTGGTGACCCAGTTATATCTTGACGGGTATACAAATATTGCCCTGTCACGGTCTCTCAGAAAGTCACCTCAGCAGATCTTGTAGAGTTAGAAATGGTAGATTTTGATATCATTCTAGGCATGGATTGGTTACATTCATGTTATGCCTCAGTCGATTGTAGAACTAGAATCGTTTGGTTTCAATTTCCAAACGAGCCAGTCTTAAGAATGGAAGGGTAGTAGCTTAGTGACTATAGGTCGATTTATATATTA